AGAACCAAACATGGCATTTAGCAGTATTCAGTTTCTGCGCACCACAAATCTGGAACAAACTTCCAGAAAACTGTAAAACAGCTGAAACACTGAGTTCCTTTAAGTCTAGACCAAACACCCACCTGTTTAGAGTTGCCTTTGACCCATAATCACTGCAACATTGACCAACATATTTGATGTGTATTGATCATTTTAATGATGGCACTTGACAAAATCTAATGTTTGTTACTGGTCTCACAATTGGTTCCTCATGGTTTCATGTTTTTATGAAGCTGCCTTGCTGCTAACATGTGCGATACAAATAAACTTGATTGATTAATGAGTGATTTCTCATTTTTAATAAAGGGAAATGGAAAATGTATGTATTGCTAGATGTCAACCTAAGAAAACACAAGAAGTTTCAGAGTGTAGGTTGAAATTGTTCAACCAAACACCATTTATTTCCCACTTTCTCTAGGTGTACATTTGTGGCGGCTTCAACGGGATACAGTGTCTATCTACAGCCGAATGTTACAACCCAGACGAAGACCAGTGGACCCTGATTGCCAACATGAGCAGCAGGCGCAGTGGCGTCGGCGTTGCTGCCTATGCTAACTACATCTTTGCAGTGAGTACAGTGGAGCAGAAACAAAAGCGCTGAGCTCAGCAGAAATATCAAACTTTGGTAAGCATGTTTGCACTTTCTCGTTCTTAGCGCCTAGTTTTCTGTCACCCATCTGCTTCAAGGTTTAGCAAGCTGTGCATTCAGATATGGAGTTCCATATACGTTGGTTGGCCTTGCACAAATAATGACTTGAGCAAATCCTTCCGTCTACCGGCCCCAAACCAGTCATCTAAATTTGTGAACTAGCTAAAATGAAGTCTCACTGGAATTACATAAAAATATTTCCCTATTTTCAGCAGGGGTTGCCAACTCCCCACTGACTGGAAGTTTGAAGCCTCTTTCAAATGATTTATTTGGGTCTGGTGCTTGTAAACCATCCCTGTCTCATGCCACTCTGGGCAGCTGCCCAAACGGCTCATATCAAAAACTGAGCTGGTTGTTTATGTCTTTCTTCCCTCTTAAACCTGTTGGTCCAGTCTCCTCTGAATCTCAGACACCAAGCTGCTTCTCACTGGATTTTTTCCTTGTTTTTTTTTTTTAGCCATTTTCTTCTAATTGTGGAAAGAGTTTTGTGTGGAAATTCCAGTAGATCAGCAGTTGCTAAAATACTGAAACCCGACTTAGAATAAACCTTCAGACTTCATTAAATGCATTTTCTTCCATTTTCTTATCCTTAATTTGAACTTCAGCTGGTCTTTTTTTTAAGCCAAAGTGAGATGTGTGAATGCCTTGATTTGCTGCCATATGATTGGTCGATGTGTGTGAGCAAGACATTGAAGTGTTGTATCAAAGTGTTGAGCTGTGGAGTGTAAGTTAGAAAACCAGGTGTCGAACTTACCTGAATCAGAAAATCCATTTAGCTGTTTATTTTATAGACAAAACCAGGTGTCTACTTGGGTTTTATCTATATCTATATCAAATATTCTGCTCTAGGTTGGGGTTTTGACGGAGTGTCGCGTTTGAACACTACAGAGGCCTACAATCCCTCCAGCAACACCTGGTGCAGCGTGCCCAGCATGCCAACCGCCCGCAGTAACTTTGGCATCTCCGTGATGAACGACAACCTGTTTGTCGTGGGAGGCTTCGGTGGCATCACTACCATCCCTAATGTTGAGTTTTTTGACATCAAGACCAACATGTGGCTAAGTGCCAGCGACATGAAGACGACCCGCAGTGCACTGAGCTGCTGTGTGGTCAGCGGGCTCAGCAACATGGCGAAATACGCTGCCGCTCTTTACTCTATGCAGCGCCAAGATTTACCTACCGAAGAGGAAGACGGGATGGAGCAATAAAATCTATCCACCTGAATTATTCTTTCAAATAAATTTCTCTGCATAAAGCCATTATGCTTTTGTGTTTGTTGTTGAGGGTATAGTTTGTGTGAGGGTTTGTTTGAAACTGAATTATTTTTTTTTTTTTGGCTATTAAGGGAAATGTGTTAAGCCCCAAGTGGCTATTTGAAATATGGAAAAAATATCCTAAGAGTAAGTGAGATCGTTGGGATCTCACTTACTTCTGTCCAGTTCACGACCTTTAACTGGTCACTAACTGGTTTCTCCCAGCTTGATATCAGTCTATTGACTAAACTCTGAGCGTTCGGATGGGAATGTCCACTGTTTCCCAAGATTTCGTCTTGTCGCCACAAACTGTGATCTGTGATTTTAGTAGTTTGTTGCAGGAAAATGTTTTCATGGAGAGGTCTTACGTATTTCTATGAAACCAATTGTGAGTATTTACAGTGATACCAGAGTCAAGTTAATACTAACTCACTGGTTCATTTATCAAGAACCAGAGTTAAAAGTTCACAAATTCTGATTAACAGAAGTCCAACAATGTGATAGTCATATGGTTGAAAGGTCAAGCTCTCAACTGAGCTACTGAAAATCAGCCAAACCCAATCATTTTCTACAACTTTATTCTTTGGGACATGGAAACGTTTCCATTTAAATGAAGCAGAACTGGGACTGAAGCAAAGCATGCTGTGATTGAGTCACATGAGGGTCCTACATGTGACCCTCAAATTACCAACTCAGTCCATGTAGGAAAGGACTGAAGATACCGAGCATGAGAGTTAAAGGTCCTGATTAGCAGAATCAATAAGAGCTCACTTGTGATGAGCTGACAGTGCGATTTCACATTCAGGCTAAAGCCAGAATACCCGACCTAATCTCTCCAATTGTCTGGCCGTCTTTGCAGCAAGCGGGTCGACTGAAGGTAAGCAAAGCTATGCATCAGAACTGTTTCACTTTTATAAGGCGTCCAGATGGTGAAATTGTTGATTTGTATTTTCAGCTGTTGGGCTATAATTTGATGCAATTAAATCTATTCCAAAGACTTACTGGATGAATATGTTTCTCCCTACCTGCTGGTTATTTTGTTTGTTGTTTATTTTGTCTGATTGTCTCAGCCCCAGTCTGGTCACCTTCCACCTACCTCAACACAATGCCTCGCCGTCGCTGCTCCGTTGAGATCAGGAACAATACCAACTCCTACACTCTTTCCAACCCAAGGTAATGCATTGCTCTTATAACGCCCTTTTTTCAAGTAAACCTGTTCAGGCTTATTTTCTATTTGTTCAACAAGGCAGTCCACGACCACTGAAATGTCTGGAGCAGGGGTCTGCAGACCTCGAGGCCTGAAAGTAGGCCTGCAATCTACTTTCAGATCGGTTTCTGCTTCAACACCCTTGAGTCAAAGAGTGAAGTCATTAGCAGGACTCTGAAGAACTTGTAATTCAGTGGTTGGATTCAGCTGTGTTGGAGCACGGATCCGTCTAAAAGGTTCTGGACTGGCGACCTCTGGACTTTGCTGACCTCCTGCTCCAGAAGGAAATAAAGAAATTTGGTTATATTATGAAATCATATAGCTTTTGTTAGTTTTTTTTTTTTTTTTTTAAACGTGTTCTGCTGTTTGAACAATTTCCATAATGCAGTTTACAAACTATAATTACATTAGGTGATTTCATAAAAAAAATTTTTGGAGTAATTTCAGACAAGCTAAGGAATTTTAAAGTCTACCAATTTGTCACTTGGAAGATGTTTAGATAAAGCCTCTTTTAATGTACTTTAAAACTTTAAATGTTGCTACATTAACCTCTTAAGAGGTTTGTCAAAATTTTCATCCACCCAGGCTGGGTTGGTGGCAATAATGAATATCGATGTAAACAATATTCATCATTTTAGAAGACATTTGCCTGTTTGTGAATGGCTCCAGTGATCCCATAACACACCAACTCATCACTGCAGTAAAGTTGTGAAACGGCTTCAGATAAGATAAAACCTTACCTACAACGGGAATTTGTTTTACATCGCAGTTCCTGACATTTTCTTATGTAAATGTTTGTTTTTGTTGTCCTTTTCTCCATAGATTTTTATAAACCCTGTGAGCTGTCTTAACGAGAACAACAAGATAAATAAAAATAAATGTGATTTTCTATGTCTCCATTTCCCAGGATCTACACTTTCAGCGGCTTCTGCCAGGTCCCTTTCCCTCCGATGGTCGGTCCCTGCTGTGCCGTTAAGGCTCGCTTCAACAAGACGACAGGCCTGGCGAGCGGTGCTGTTGGTGTTTTCACTTACGACCTTTTCGACACCGAGATGAACGACTACAACCACGTCATGGCCGTCATGTTCTCCGTGCCCTACGACAGAATCGTTTTTTCCAACTGGCTTGCTGTGGGAATCTTTAATAAAGATAGAAAATGCGACCACAGCCTTTTTCACAAGATGTACAACGGAGAGGAGAGTAACTTCGTTAGAGGAAAGGCTGACACGCCTGGCCTCTTTTACGAGGGTGACTACGTTATTCTCAGTGCCTCCATGACAGACTCGAACGACGCCACCCTGACAGTGGAGATCAATGACACTGGACTGTATTGAGTCTTTGATGTGATAACTCGCTATGTGATGTGATCACCTGTATTCCTAGCAAATGAAGGAATCTCTGAACCAGCTGAAAGCGGCGCTTCAAATTGAGAGCGAATATCTGCTGAGGCTCATTTGTCACATTAAATCCTTTTTTGCAGGTATTAAACATAACATCCATTAATCTCACATTTCTGTAATTATTTTTATACTTGTCTGCTGTAACACTCTTAGACTATATATAATTTCTGCCATCCTACAGTCACTCTGCAGAAACTCATTTCGACTATCGAATGTTCCTCATTTCACACCACAGGCTGAAATGCACCAAAGTTCTTGTGATTCTGATTGTATACATTTTTAGTTCATAATTCTCCCCAAGAGTTGGAAGTCATTCTTCTGAATAATAATGATATAAAAAAATCTGAATATTTTCTGGTAACTTTTTTTTTTTTTTTAGGTTTCTAACAAGTTCTAGTTATTGAGAATTTATAAATAATGTGTTTGTGTGATCCAGGTAGCCAAGCTTGTCCTTATTGCTCATTTCTGCTGTTTTATTGATAGGTATAATGTACTTGCACCGTTGTTCTTGAGAACTGAGGTTTAAATCATTCCTTCACAACAACGTCGATGAAGTTCTTGACGTTCTTCAGTTTGTCGCTGTCAAAGTTCACCAGGAGCACACTGTAGCCAGCAACGCTGGGCTCAAACTGAATCCTGGCCTTCGCTTCTTTATTTCCTCCCACAGTTTCAACCCTGCAAGAGAGACTCATTTTAATTATCTGCGTTTGCAGTGTTTTTATGATTTCACGTTGGGTTTTGTATGTACATATTTTGTATTTCATGGTTCTTTGAATAGTTTTGTTGAGTTTAATTTGGTTGTGTTGTTCTCTGTCGTGTAGAAGTGTTTGTATCTGTTTTCATTGACAGTTCCCTCAACTTTCTCTTACTCTGCTCACTAGGACTAACTCATGTTTCCTCCTACCACATCTGCCTTTTGTCCCCTGCGCTGGTTTTGTGTGTCGCTACAAATGTCAGATCATCAATCACTGAATGAAATCTTTAAAACTTTATCTTGTTTCCAGTGGTTGTTTTCAGTAATCAAGTGAAGGCTGTAACATACTTTGCTGTTATGGGTTTGCTGCCTGTGAGTCCGATGCCTTCCACGGCGAAGCTGCAGTTCAGCAGCGGCTCTGGCAAAGGGTTCAGCAAGGTCAGCTCTACAGTCACAGGCTGGTTCACTCTGGCTTCACCCAGCAGCTGCCGACAGGAGGTTCAGGTTTCACCATAAAGACATGACATAATGTGGAATCAGGTAGACAAAATTCCACATTTTGAAACGTAAAACATAAGCACTGCAACTTAGACGAGGATAAAAATGTACAAATCAGTGTTAAACTATACTTTTCATCTGGATAGTTACCTCTTCTAGTATATTTACTCTGCTGAAAGGCAGCTCTTTACGTTCACATTGCGCTTAACAACACAAATCGACCTCTCTAGGTCCACCTTAGGTAGAAACACTGGTGTTGATGTGGAACTTATTTGTTTTCATGTTTTCTGGACTGTTAATTGTGCAGGTGAGAAAAGTTACATTTTGTCCTCCTGAGTGATGTGCGGTCAGGAAAAAATAATATATAATAATACAATAATTTCTATTGCTGTGGTTTGTCCTATAAAGTACCTATTTTTCATTTAGTTTAACCAATTCAGATTAGTTTTTATTTTTTCAAAATCGCTGGATTTTCACAGCTGGTGAGGCAGCAGCCAGCTGAGCCTCACCTCTTGACCTCTTTTTGTGCAAAATATTTGAGTGTTTTTTTTTTTTTTTTTTTGTGGTGGTGTTGTCAGTTGCTCCGGCAACTGCAGCGCTGATAAATAGAGCGAGAAAGACATGGTTTTGAGTTATACTTTAACAATTTCCCCTTTGCTGTGGAGCAAAGGGAAAATCTACATGTCCAAGTTTGACTGAGTTAACGGAATTATTCAGCAGCAGCAGCGCAGCTAAGTATAACATGTTAAAGTCAGTCTTTTTGCCCTCCATGCGCGAAATTTCCTGATGTAAACAATAACATGCAAAGGGAATATAATTGTAAATCTGGTTATGATTAAGTCAGTGCCTCACCGGCTATGAACCTCACCGCACATCACTGGTACTCCTGATTTGACCAACAACTACTTATTACTATACATATTTTTGGAAAGGGTAAAAGAATAAACAAGTAAATGGGGAAAATTTGTCTCTACTAATTCTCTTGTGTCCTGCAGATTCTGACCTCGATCCTGATGTCTGGCTCATCCAGCACAATTGTTTTCTCAACCTTATGGTAGATTTTTGAGGTAGAACTGTTTGCATTGAACCAAGAAGATTATATCAAATAAAACAAAACTAAAACAACAAAAAAAGATAGTGGGATTTTCTTGCATTTTCGCTCTGGAATCTGAATGTCAGCGATAAATCAGTTTGCGTTGCGCTGCATTGCGCTGCGCTGCGTTGTGTTGTGTTGTGTTGTGTTGTGTTGTGTTGTGTTGTGTTGTGTTGTGTTGTGTTGTGTTGTGTTGTGTTGTGTTGTGTTGTGTTGTGTTGTGTTGTGGTGTGTTGTGTTGTGTTGTGTTGTGTTGTGGTGTGTTGTGTTGTGTTGTGTTGTGTTGTGTTGTGTTGTGTTGTGTTGTGTTGTGTTGTGTTGTGTTGTGTTGTGTTGTGTTGTGTTGTGTTGTGTTGTGTTGTGTTGTGTTGTGTTGTGTTGTGTTGTGTTGTGTTGTGTTGTGTTGCGTTGTGTTGTGTTGTGTTGTGTTGTGTTGTGTTGTGTTTCATTGTGTTGTGTTGTGTTGCGTTGTGTTGTGTTGTGTTGTGTTGTGTTGTGTTGTGTTGTGTTGTGTTGTGTTGTGTTGCGTTGTGTTGTGTTGTGTTGTGTTGTGTTGTGTTGTGTTGTGTTGTGTTGTGTTGTGTTGTGTTGTGTTGTGTTGTGTTGTGTTGTGTTGCGTTGTGTTGTGTTGTGTTGTGTTGTGTTGTGCTGCGCTGTGCTGTGTTGCGCTGTGCTGTGTTGTGTTGTGTTGTGTTGTGTTGTGTGCGGTTGTGTTGTGTCGTTGTGTGTTGTGTTGTGTTGTGTTGTGTGCGGTTGTGTTGTGTTGTGTTGTGTTGTGTTGTGTTGTGTTGTGTTGTGTTGTGTTGTGTTGTGTTGTGTTGTGGTGTGTTGTGTTGTGTTGTGTTGTGTTGTGTTGTGTTGCGCTGCGTTGTGTTGTGTTGTGTTGTGTTGCTCTTGCCGTGTGTCTGGCTGAACACCACACATCCGCTGCACGATCGGGCCGCCCGAACGCGTTGTTTCGGTCTTTCAGGTCATGGAAATCGGCCGACCACTCAGGTCTGAACTCCGGGCTCACGTGCGGCCCTCTGCGGGTCCAGCTTCTCCGGTCCAATTCCTATCGCGCACTAGCGCGTGCGTTCTGTCGTAGCCATGGAAACGACGGTGGCGTGTAAGGTTCATATTATTAATCTCATAGCAAGTATTACTGAGATATTACTAAATTATTTGGCTTATTTTGTGTGTTTTTTTTTCATCAGTCTATTGTACAACAACAGATAAAAAAAATTAATTAAATGCAACATTTAATATTAGTACATTAAAAAGAACCATTGTCTGAACTAGATTTTGGAATCACGTGCCAACAGCCAGGTTTGGTTTCACTAGGCCACAGTTCACTGGGTTAAAATGAAGAAGTTTAATAAAAAGATAGATGAAGGAATCAGTTCCCATCTGGTATCACATTCTCATTTTATTGCAACCAAACCTTTTAAATTCAGAGGGAAGAAACCTGACATTCAAATTAGACACTGCTTACAAAAGTTAAAAGAAATAACAAAGGGGTATAAAACTGAAAAAAGAGAAGACATAAGTTATATAAAACACAAAGTAAGAAAACGATGGTCTAATAGTCCTGTCGTAATTTGCACAGCAAAACAAATCAGAGGCTTTCAAGTTCACAACAGTAGGCTAATGTTTAAGACAATATGAAGGAAAAAAAAACAAACAAACACTTAACTAAAATCCAAAAATGAGGTGAAACTGATTTGATTTGTGGATCCCTGTGGGTTTTGACTGCTGTCTTGTGATTGTCCATTCTTCTGCAGAAGCTTGACTTTCCTCCTTGAAGATAATGCCTGTATAGTCAGCCCCGTCTTTACGGATGCGTCTATAAAACTTAACACAACTCAAACACGCAGGCTAGTGGTCTGTCCCATCAGAAGAAGATAAAACGACATTCACAACAACGTCTGAACAAGCATTAAATACTGAAAGGCACCACATTAACAAAGCCTTCGAATAGAAATTGGAAAAAGTACAAACATTTACTCTGTATTTGGTAAATCCTTTCATTACAAAAAAAATCAAAGAATCAAAAAATCTGCAGAGCGGATTCAGGTTTTCTGCAGTAATATGTCCACATATTTAACTCCACTCGAGGTCAACCTCTTCCTTATGTCTTCAGTCTGGACAGAAGGCCGATGTAAACACTGAGCAAGCTAACCTTGCAGAAGAGTGCTGGACTTGGTGACTCCAACTTGTTTAATAAACTTGTTTGATCCCCGCAAATATAGAACTGCAAAAACTGTGCATGACAAGATCCCACACTGGCAGTATCTGTTTTAAGACACCAAAACCGATTCAATAAATATATAAAAAAAAAAAAAAAAAAAAAAACAGTCTTTTTGATAAGAAATAATGGCTATGAAGCCCATGGAAATGTTTCCATGCATGCAATTCTTCTGTCTTCATGTCGTCTGCAGCAGCATCAACTATGTTATTGACTGTTCATCTGCAAAAAAAATAAAAATAATGCAAAATAAAATGAGACCTTCTAAAGCCACAAGTTTCAATTATTATTATAAATGCCTATTTACCATTTTATAGAATACACAAACATTATAAAAGTATTGCTCAGTATAGAACATGGTTCACATCAGATACCCATTAAAATATTTTAACCTTAAAATTTCTGTTGTTAAATGACTATTACCTTCTGTTAAGAAATAAAAATCAAACTTCTGTTGATCTTCCCAGCTTCCCCTGCAGTGAAAAATACAGTTCAGTTTAATCAAAGATAAAAATAACACCGTTATATTAGCACCTAAATTGTTGATGCGCTTTGTGGACAATGTCTACCACAGAATTTGCATATATTGTATATTTTAGTTAATGAATGCAAACATTCATAATTGTTCAAGAAAAACAGGTAATTTTAAGACACCAGCAGCTCATTTAGTCAGAGCCATACATGTAAATTATAATCGAGTTTAGTTCATCTTCAGTTTTACCTCAGGGGTAGGTAGATGTGGAGGTTTGGGGGGGATGCCAGGCTTCTTTCTGGTAACTGCGGGGGAGCTGTTTGTCCTCAGGCTGGGGTCCGACAAAGAGTTGATTTCTTCTCTGACCTCTGGGACACGGACGAAGAGTCGTCCACTACCTCTCCGCTGATAGCAGACAGACAGCTGTAGTCTGGGCTGCTGTACAGATTCATACTTTCTCCAGAGGAGTCGGTGCTGTCCACTGAAACACAGACATGCACCAAACACAATATAATAATGCCTAAAAAATTCGACTTTACTTATGTTGTGAATTTGTAACTTCTATCAAAAGAGTCTAAACCAAAGCAATAAACTCACTCAGAGGACAGCGAGTTTTCCACTGATCACCGTGAGGATGAGGCTGGTGCTGAAGAAGATGATGGCTGTTGAGCTCGTTTTCGGTCACAGCCTCGGGGGAAGACGCAACTCCTGGGTTGGTGTTCCCAAGATAACCAGAAGGGGGCAGCGAGCCCCGGCCAGAGGAAGAAGATGATTGGCTGACGGTGGTGGACGCAGTGCTACCAGAGCCAATGGAGTGCGGGCGGGAATAATCTAAGCCCCTGTGTGAACAACACGCCACAGGGACTAACGACACACAAATAAATGCAATCAATGAGAATATAACACGTTTTACAACTTTATATTTAGGTTTCTACTCGGTAAAATGATCAGACAACATCAGACGGATTTTCACTGACATGTTGTTGATACACAGCTACAATCATACATAAATCCAGCCAGTTAATTAGCAGCTCTATCAATCTATGCAGCTCCCTCAGAGGTACCACAGGCCTCTTGTCAGGCTTTGTGATTATGCCTTTAGATGAACAACCACATCTTGGTAGTTTTGTAGTTGTTCAACTTTTAAATCAAGTGAGATGTTGATTTGGGATATTGTTTCATAATTTAAACCTCTCCACAACTTTATTCCTGACCTGCCTGCTGCGATCTAAATCAGATTTATATTTGTACAAAACTCCTTCCAAAAACTCTTTTCTCATCACTTTAGAGCTTTGTGTTGGTCTAGCTTTTGAAACTCCTATAAAATACATGGATGTTACAGCTTAAAGGTTTTACAAAACACTGTGTCTTCTCACTTATCCTAATAAACAAACACTCTGAACAAAAGACTAGCTTTGAAAATTTCACCAAGTCTTCGTGCTTTCACCAAATGTTTACTTCGATTTAGTTAAACTGGTCTAAGATGTGGTTTTATAGCAATGATTTTGTAGTTTCATGTAAAAATTCATCAACTTTATGTCCCAAATATAAACATTTCAAATTAAACAAATATTGCAAAATAGCAGTATTAGCTATTATATACCTGCTCTTGTAATGATGTAATGTGTGCAGGATCAGGACCATTTAAAATGTAAAACACTTTGAATGGTGTAAACTTCTTACTTCTCCCAGGCAGGCCGCAGCTGACGGCTCGGTCACAAATCGCCTCATCACTGGGTTGAATATCCATAAAAGGACTGCCACCCGTTCCCATAAACACTCTCTCTTGCAAACGCAGCTCTGGAAAAACAAACTACGTATTCAGAATGAGCTTTTAAAAAGGACTTTTTTATTTGAAATAAACCTCTAAATATGTATTCCAGTCTAATATTGTGGCAAACACCTCTACTGTGAGCAGCTTGGTTCCACAGAATCCTCTCCACGTCAGTGGTCCAGGCTTTCTTCACTTCGGTGCTTGAGGCCTTCAGAGTGTAAGTGTCCTCACTTTTCCTCCTGCGGAACCAGATCTCAAAGCACAGACCGCTCACACCAGAGTTATGGGTCATTCCTATATCGTTAGTCTGGAAAACACACACACACACACACACACACACACACACAAACATATAAATGAGCCACATTGTTCCAATTTTACTGGTAAAGTGTGACAATGGCATGCATTTCACTGCAAAATTCACATTATCATGGATGTGATATATGATATTGTATCACATACAAACCTTAAATGACTGTTTGTAGACATAAAC